ATGCCGACGCACTTTCCAGAAGACCTTGCGCTAAGGACTGTAAGCATTGTTCCCGAGCAGAAGAGAAAGAAGTGAAACTCCTAAGAACAACTGTGGTTAATGATAGTTGGCAACCCGAGATCTTGCAAATGACCAAACCAGTGACCCAGAATTAGGTTTAGTAATTAACTGGAAAACACAGGCCAAAGACCAACGTGGGAAGAAGTTTGCAGATATTCGCCGAACGTAAAGTCGTACTGGGCCCAGTGGAATTCCTTGGTAATAGATAACGGACTACTTCGCCGTGTGATCGAGCGACCGGAGGGACAAGAAGAGAGAAGGCAAATCGTCATTCCAAAGAAGAGGGTCCCAGAAGTCTTGGAGGAAGTTCACAATGGAACCAGCGGTGGACATCTTGGTGTTACCAAGACACTTGGCAAGCTGCGTGAACGGTTCTACTGGGTGAACTGCAAAGAAGATGTGAGGGCCTGGTATAAGAAATGTGACACTTGCGCAGCCCTCAATGGGCCATAAAAGCGTGGTAAAGCCCCTATGCGCCAGTACAATGTTGGCAGTCCCTTCGAACGAATACCGATCGACGTGGCTTGTCCTTTTCCGGAGACGAACGATGGCAACAAATACATTGTGGTACTAATAATGGACTAATAACTACTAATGGATTACTTCAGCAAATGAGTCGAGGCCTACGCGTTGCCAAATCAAGAAGCGTCCACCGTTGCTGATGCCCTTGTTAAAGAATGGATCTGCAGGTTTGGTGTTCCCATGGAGCTTCATTCAGATCAGGGAAGAAACTTTGAATCCAATCTGTTCCAAGGCGTCTGTGAAATCCTGAACATCCGAAAGACCAGGACGACTGCTCTACATCCACAATCCGATGGGATGGTTGAACGCATGAACAGAACTATCAACCGTTATCTGGCCAAAATAGTCTCTGACCACCAAAGAGACTGGGACAAATTTCTTCACCTGTTCCTGTTGGCCTACCGTTCATCCGTCCAAGAATCTACAGGGCAAACTCCAGCCAGCATCGTTATGGGACGGGAAGTGCGCCTACCCTGTGATCTGAAATTTGGTTGCCGACCGGGAGAAGTCGCCGGAGAAGATTATGTCCACACACTACGTCAAAGGATGGACGACATTCATCAGAGAGTCCGCCTAAATATTCAAAGTGCTAGTGACCGAATGAAGGAACACTACGACATTCAAGCTGAGCATGGAGGATACCAACCAGGGAAGTTGGTGTGGCTATATAACCCGCAGAGACGTCGTGGGTTATCTCCGAAGCTACAATCCTCGTGGGAAGGGCCATACGAAGTCATGGATAGAATTAATGACGTCGTATACCGTATCAGAAAATTGCCAAAAGGAAAACCGAGGGTAGTCCATTTCAACCGTTTGAGCCCCTACCAAGGCGAAATAGAAGATCGTGCTGGGACCGTGAGAACCTGCAGCTTTGATCCCCCTGATTCGGAGATGTCCTTTGACGATTTCATGGCCCGATACAACAGCAGTGAGAAGGCTCGCTATGGTGTAACCAAAGAAGATCAACGAGACCTCTTTTCCGTGCCTCCTGATTATTCGCTCGCTCATTGTGTGGCTCGAGATTTGCGGATGTCCAGAGGAATCGCTGCGACGTTCAATGAGAAGTTTGGGCGTGTCGGAGAACTACGCCGACAGGATCCAGAGGTTGGAAGCGTCTTGAGGCTAACCGACAATGCACATGGTCAAGCAAGGCACATCTTCTACCTGGTCACCAAGGAATGGTCCCCGAGTAAGCCGACTTATCTCAATCTCTGGAAGACCCTGATTGAACTGAGAGAAGCCCTGCTAAACAACAACATTGCACGATTAGCCATTCCGAAGCTGGCGTGTGGACTCGATGGTTTGAGTTGGCGTACAATAGTGATGGGCAAAACTGTTATTTTTAGATAACAGTTGAAACTGTTATAGTTATTTATAAAAAACAGCTTAAAATAATAGCTTAAAAATAACAGGTTTCTTTATTTTACTGCTAAATATCTGAAAGAGTATGAGACGGTCATCGCCAGGCGTATTAACGCAGTTGCAAGTTATAATGACGTGCTCGGTGGTAGTATTTCCAGGGTGTCAAAACATTTCTAATTATCGATTGTTATTAAATACCTCTCTAAAACGGTGGTTGTTTACAAATAAGCTGTTTACAAATTGCGATATAAAAAGCCAAAATTCGGCCACTCGTCTATAGTATACACCTACGCCCTGCCCCTCGATCCGCGTAGATCCCCGAATTGCGTAGCAGTGTACAGGGTGCATTCACTCGACGGGCGAGAAGCTCTTAGCGTTATGATTTTACCATTTGCGGTCAAAAATAGCAATATAAGAAAATGTGTAGTATATTCTTCATAAGTGTAAACCAACTACACACTAGGAGTTCGAATTAATTTTACACTTAAACTAGCGTGTACCCGCGACTTCGTTCGCGTCGAATTTAATGACTAATGGTGATGATAAAGCAGAAACAAGAATTTCCATTAAATAACAAACTGGATAAAATTTTCTCACATTTGGTTAAAAATAAGCTTTCTAACGTCGAGCAGTTTAAACAGAATCGTCGTTAATCAATTACTCAACTTTTTTGGAACACCCTGTATGATTTTTTTTAAAAATTTCAAAATATGTAAAAAACAAAATAAATTATGCGTGTCCAGGCGTTTTCCCGAAAGACTAACCGTTTTTAAATAACAAATATTGTAATAATTGAGGGCGTTTTCACCCTGTTGAATTTGAGATTCGAGAAACCCCTCCTTATCGAACCTCAACCCCACAGTCAATCCGTTTGCAAAAATCAGCTTTAAACGTCCAGCAGTTTAAGCAGAATAGTGATTACTCAATGGTCATATTTTATGAAACACCCCTGTATATATTTTTTTAAAAAATCTTAAAATATGTAAAAACAACATATTAAAATATACGTGTTTTAAGAGTTTTGAAAACTCACCGGTTTTTAAATAAAAAATATTCTAATATTTCAGTAGTTTCTGAATTCCCTTAGAATTCGAGTTTCGAAAAATCCCTTCTTATCGAACCTCTACACACTAAAGTCAACTGTTTTCAAAAATCAGCTTACGTCAAGGGCTTTAAGCAGGATCGTGATTAATCAATGACCAGATTTTTCAAAACACCCTGTATACATTTTTATAAATCTTAAAATATTATTCTGAAAATTTTTCAGAATAAATATATACCTAAATATTGAAACTTAATAAGTAAGTACTGAAACATACATGCCACATAATATCTCGACCTCCGTCCGCTGTTGTGCTTGCAATGGGGTTGAAACAGAATGTATCTAAAACAACTGATGCGTTATTCCCTCAACCTGTTTTGAACCTCCATCGACAATCGACCGATGCAGCAGCGTTCTTTCCCACACCTATTATCTCGTCCGCCGCCCTGTTATGCTTGTGGGTCAGTAGTTGAAAACAACATATCTAAAAATGACTGCTTCTCCAACCTGTTGCGAGCCTCCATCGACAATCGACCGATGCAGCAGCGTTCCTTTCCCACTCCTGTTATCTCCACCGCCAGGCGTTCTGCGTCTCCGCAACTGTTTCAAAAACCTGCTTCTTTTCATATCCTATTATTTTTAAGCTGTTGTAAATATCATTGGATTTGGTATCGACCGAAGCAGCCGCTTTTCCTCCGTTGTCCGTTGAAACGCCGCCCAAATGATGGTTGACGAAATAACATGTTTTCCATCCATACTAAGCTGTTTTTTGGAATTGCTTCGAGCAGCATAGAATTTCGAGGTGATGCAGAGCGCCGACGTTTTTCCTTTCACGAGCGGGCCGATCTCTACGTGTCGTTATTTTATATCTGTTATTTTTAAAAGTAGTAACGGTTATGTTATGTTATTTATAAATAATTGTTATAAACAGATAGTTAAATAACAACCCATCACTAGCGTACAACTGAACATGATTGAAGTCTTGTTCAGATTTTTACGGGAATCGAGATCCCTCGTTTGCTGCCACAACCCAAAGCTGAGATCGGGAGAGAAAACTGTAGACTGCTATTTCTACCAGACTCTCGCAATGTACCAGGGGCCAGCTTTGCAAATACCTTCATCACCGTATACATCTCGGGACGAGCATGTGCCTAAGAAGGGGGCAGTGTTGCCGGTGTGGACTCGACCTAACTCACAATATGGCCCGCCCTCGGATGAGACTTAACATCGCATAGACACCGCAATGATTCATTCGTTCGAGAAGAATCGAGACTCACTAGATCGGACGCGCACATACGAGAACATTCGAAAACCTTCTCTATGCGCCTAACGATCTTTGGACTATTCTAGATTTCTTTTACCTGTCGGTATAAAAGCCGGCGGCAGTGGCCTAGAGAGGGCAGTTATAAATATACAGTTGACGCGCTAAAATTCAAAAATAAATTCTTAGTTATAAATCGTTTGTAAATAGTTCTATAAGTCTTTTATCGTTATTATTTTTGTTCATTAGTGTTAAATAAATAGTGTTTAAATAAATTGTGATTTTCTATCCACACGGAACCGACGAAAAACGTAACAATACATAAAAAATAGACGCTTTCACTTGGCACTGGTAACTGTTGTTATAGGACATGCAGCATGGTATTTATATTACGTTTCTAATGCAATAACTTAATATGAAAAATTGTGGCACTTGCCCCCTTTGATATTTCCACTCTTCAATTATAGAAAAATTAAAAAAGGATAGAACATTTCCAAACACACAAATCTATTTAAAAAAGTATTTTTTTTCGAATTTTAAATTACACAATTTAAAAATCATTTTTACTCAATATAAAAAAAATACAACCTCGACAAAATTAGTCTTTGACGCCGTTTTTTTTAATAGTATGGTACTGGCAAACATGATATGTTATTGAAGAAGAAAAAGTATTAAAAATAGTATTATACAGGGGAACAGTTTGAGAGGTATGATCGGGAAATAATAACTCAAATTATGTAAATAAATACTTACCCTCGCTTCATGTAAACTGTGTTCGATAACGTTAATCACGATAGCCAATACCAAGCCTACCATCAACAAAAATGCACTCAAAAACAACAAAATCCTTTCTAGAGTTGATCGTACCACCCATAATTTGACACCAGGATAGTACCTTATGTGGGTAACGCTCGTACTAATTCCTATGAGAAATGTGAATGAGAATGGATATTACAATGATTAAAAATATGATAAATAAATTACCTTCAGTTAGCTGAACACTGTTCACACTGGCATCATCTCCAAAATCTGCATGTGTATATCGTGTCATCTGAAACACAGAGAAAAAGTTAATTATTGGATAATAGTTGCTTTAGCTAAAAATAGTAAAAAGCCGTTTAATATATAAAAATTAATACACAAAGAACTCTCACAACTCACAACCGATTTGCAATTGATAAAAGTTTGATTTTAGACTTCCGTTTCCTTAGTTATTAATACACAGTACAGGCATTTAGAGATATTTAAGGGGCGTTTACACGAGTCAAGTGATTTGATCAAGTCACTTGAATTCAATTCGCATGAACGTCATCAGTGACAAATACAGAGGGGGGCCTATGGAGCCAGGCCCCCCCCCTAAAATCAATGATTTGGGTTAAATATTAGGCTTTTGGGTTAAAAATGGCGGCCTAAAAACATATTCTACATTGCTTTTTATCCCCCCTCCCTAAAATAAATTCCTATATCCGCCGCTGAACGCCATATAACCGTCTAAACTCGACAAATCTTGTCAATTGATCAAGTAAATTGATTCATGTCTTCATGGCATTGATGAACCTGCAGGTTTACGTATTTGAAGTAGTAAAAACTACGGAGTAAAACGTCTTTACGCGCGATGGGAGTAAAAAGTCAAGGCCGCGACACACAAACTAGCGTCACGCCAAGATCGCCAAGCGTCATAAAAATTGTAACGATCTTGTAGAGTCGTAATTCTGGTCCTTATTTTCATGATATTTTGACGACGTTTCGTGCACCACGAAACCGCATTATCAATGGGTCTTTGCAGCGTTGTAACCAGTGGCGGACTAAGGGGGGGCGGAAGGGTCGGTCCGCCCCGGGCCCCGTCTTTTAGGGTGCCTCCGAATCTTAATAAGTAATTTTTTATTCAACTGGCAAACAAGGCCAATATGTGTTCAGTAGTTATAAAGCAGTTTGTAGGTGGAGTATGCAAACCATACATATACGCCAACTATAAACAGCATAAATGGAAACAGATATTTACTTAATTATCAATTATCAGGCCCCAGTAATTGTCAATGGCATTTTCTATTTAGGAAATTAAATCCAGGGGTAATTTTCTTTGTTTAAAATATCGAATAATTATAATTTTTTTATATATTTTGAGACTGAATTTATTTATTTGAGCTTTTAAGTTATTTTTCAATGGTTTTATTATTTATTTTTAATGAATAAACATTTTAAATTACAACCAACGCACAGCATAACTTGTATTCTAACATTACTGATGATGAGCAGTGAAGTCTTTAGTATAACAGGGGCCACGGGCCTGAGAAGGGACTGCGAAGGGACCCCTCGGATCTTGGAGGACTTACAAAATCGCGATATTTTGTCGCGGTACTTCCCTGGAAGCATTTTTAAGAAAAAATATTTAAAATTTTTGGCCGAAAAAAAGTACCTGTCAAAAAAATTTGTACAGCCTAAAAGTCAAATTTAGTGATTATCACAGCCCCTGTGACATAGATAGCCACATGTCTTCTCTTTATGTCACAGTGGCTGTGATAATCACTAAATGACGTTTAGGCTATATACATATTTTTGACAGGCAGTTTTTTTCCTCCAAAAATTATAAATATTTTTTTTTTCAAAAACGGTTAACGTTAGGTATAGAGTGTTTAATATCAAAATTCATAAAATTTCACAGAGAATTTAAGTATGTAATAAAAAATGGGGTCACCCATTTAAAATAAGAAAGTTGCTGTCAACTTCCGGTACTTCCGAAAGTGCCGCCATATTGAAAATATTTTTAATGGATAGATCTCATTGTGAAACAATGATATGCACAAAATCTCGCATCTATAGGGAAATTGGAACAACTTTCGTAGCACGTCATCAATGACACTATGCGTCGTCTTATGGAGTTTTTTAACAAGAAACCACCTCTTAAAGCTTGGTTTTGAAACACCCTGTATTGTATTCGTATAATTATGATATTAGGGAGCATAAAATGATTCATTCCTACAGTTTCCCTAATGACGAATAATACTTTTTCATTCATACAAACTTTTTTGATAAATGCCGTTATTCATATACCTAAAGTGAATTTATTCTAGAATAAATAAGAGTTGTATTTACCAAAAAATTTAGTTAGAAATGTTTACATTACTCATTTCATAAGCGATTCGGATTTATTGTTATGGTAAAAATAGAAAATTTGAATTATTAATTTCTATTAGAAATTCAAATAAGGAACCATTTGTTGTTCACATTCAAGCCTAGCATTTTTACATTTTTTCAATTTATTAGCCGACCATACCAACAGGTATGATTAAGATCGCCAAAAAAAAGTTTTTTTTTTAATTTCACTCAAAACATGAGTTATTTGGGTCATAAATGACCTAAATACAAAATATTTTCATGGTGTCTGTCTGTCCGTCTGTCCGTCTGTAATAAGATAATTCAAAAACCGCTAAACCGATTTTAACCAAATTTGACACAAAAATACTGTGGTACCCGAGAATCTGGCCATTAGTTTTTGGTGGGGGAGGGGGGTTGGTAAGGGGGTATGGGAGGGGGTCAAAAATTTTAAAAAATCATAACTCCAAAATTACAGTAGCTAGCGAAACGTGGTTTTCAATTTAAGATTAGGAATAAAATGTGCAACCAAATTTGTAAGAACATCAAAATCAGTCAAAGTCGCAGTTTTTAAGATATTCCGTGTTTCCGTAGTCCGTTTTTGAGAAAATCCGTGTGGAGAACTCCAAACTCCCATTGGACGCGATCCCAGGTGGCGGATAGGGTAAAATAACCGAGAACCAAGATTGGTAAAATTCCTTTACTTTGAAACTAAAAGAACTGCCTACCAACTTTTTATTAACATATTTTAGTATGGGCGGCTATACGTGCCTCCCGGCGCCAATTTTTTTTGTGAAATTTACTTTGATTTTCAGTTTTTCAATTTCATGGAATTAGAAACACGCTCTTCGTTTTTCTGTTTTATATCTTCTATGTAATAAGAGTGATATAAACATTCTAAAAACAGATATTTGGTAAAATCAGTACGTTTGCGAGATTATCTATCTATTTGAGGTACTAAAAGACTTTTAATGTAAGATTTGTAAGTTTTTTGATTTGTTTGTTTACATCAAACTCCAGAAAGCATCGTGTGTGTGCCCTTTGTGCGCATATTTGAAGTGAAACTTCTTCTTTCTGTCTGTCTGGCCGTCTGCCAATCTGTCCATCTGTCCCTCTATCCCTCTGTTCATCTGAGGACTCCATTCAGGTACCTCTATCCACGTGTCGAGTTCCGAGTTTGGTTCCAATCGACCCATAATTAAGAAAAATTCTGATGATTTTGTCCATTTAGAGGAATCATGTCGAAACGTCAAGAGCGTCAACCTATAGCCCATCCCCAATTATGCCGAAATCGACCCACATTTTTCTTCAATATCAAATCCTTAGTTCTACCCTGATGAAGATGTAAACGAAACATCGTATCCAACTTTCCAGGGTGGGACCGTGTGTATCGTCGCTCACATAGTCCATCCACCAAATTTGGTCGCGATCGGACATCAATTTTTGACTTTCTTAGTAACTTTTGACATTCAAAACTAACTATCACAGTGACACACTATCTATCGACATACCAAATTTCATTTAAATCGGACGATTTTTTGATTTGATTCATTGATGATGGGGGTTCGTAGTACACGAAAAGTCGTCAAAATATCGTGAAAAGATGGTATGATACGATGAGATCTTAGAGCCACATCTACATTTCGAGTTTCAGCCCCCTAGCTCACATAGGGCCCGAGTTACAACCAGTGGCGTGTTTACAACCAAGTCTGTCGGGGGCCCGGGGCGGCGAAGCTAAATGTGGCCCCCGGTCTGTTTAGATAATGATATACTTATAATGCACATTTTGTAAAAATTGAATAACGTATATATAATGGTTGACCAAATTCAATTATTTATACAGGGTGTCCCAGGGTGTTAAAATAACTTTCGTTGCACATCATAATACGATTAGACCACCACCGCCAATACGATTGGCAGACGGCCAGACAGACAGAAAGAAGAAGTTTCACTTCAAATATGCGCACAAAGGGCACACACACAATGCTTTCTGGAGTTTGATGTAAACAAACAAATCAAAAAACTTACAAATCTTACATTAAACGTCTTTTAGTACCTCAAATAGATAGATAATCTCGCATACGTACTGATTTCACCAAATATCTGTTTTTAGAATGTTTATATCACTCTTATTACATAGAAGATATAAAACAGAAAAACGAAGAGCGTGTTTCTAATTTCATGAAATTGAAAAACTGAAAATCAAAGTAAATTTCACTAATTTCACAAAAAAAAATTGAAAAAATGTTGTCAAAATGCTAGGCTAGAATGTGAACAACAAATGGTTCCTTATTTGAATTTCTAATAGAAATTAATAATTCAAATTTTCTATTTTTACCATAACAATAAATCCGAATCGCTTATGAAATGAGTAATGTAAACATTTCTAACTAATTTTTTTGGTAAATACAACTCTTATTTATTCTAGAATAAATTCACTTCAGGTATATGAATAACGGCATTTATCAAAAAAGTTTGTATGAATGAAAAAGTATTCGTCATTAGGGAAACTGTAGGAATGAATCATTTGATGGTCCCTAATGTCATAATTATACGAATACAATACAGGGTGTTTCAAAACAACGCGCTTTAAGGGGTGGTTTCTTGTTTATTATATAAACAAGAAACTTTAGAACTTTAAGAAAACTATATAAACGTTAGATCAAAAGCCAACCATTAGGGGGAGATTACAGTTCCAAAATGACAAAAAAATCATGTTTTAAGGTTTTTTGTAGGTGTTCGTCTGTGTGTCAAGACACTGTATATCGAGTTGAAATTAAAACCATATACTCAGGTCTACAGACCCTTAAAGAAATTATTTGGAGAAAATCGAAATAAAAACGAAACTTCTACACCTTGTATCTCCGAGATGAAATATTTTAGGACATAAACTTACCCATACGAACTTTTTTACTTATTTTTATCTGCAGAATATGCCGAAGTGTCCCGAATACGATT